ATGACAATAAAGAAAAGGCCAGTTATTGTTGACAATATTTACTGAAAGCCATTTCAAGCAAGCACTTTTTCATTATTTAATATGTGCTTTATTAAATCACAGGACTGTTATACTAAATTAAGTTAGAGTTGTATTAAAATTTATAGATGATTTCCCCCTCTTTATTTCCCTTCCCGTCATCTTCTCTGTGTGAGTGTATCATACAATCTTTCATTTCAGTTTAGGGATTTACATGTAAGGAGGATTGTGCCAAGTTACAGTCCTCCCTTGCCTCCCTTAGAATGCACATTATGTATCAAGAAAAGATATAAGGAGACTCTGGGAAACATCCAGGCCAAAGAAAGCAAACGTTAAATCTATCATTCTCGAAGCATGCCCTTGGCCAACTTCACAGAACTCTCCTGTGATTAGCTTTTTGGGGAATCATGAAAACGGTTTCCTTTGCATCCCCAAAGTTATGAACTTTATTTCTTCTTCCACATATCCAACTGGCCAGTGTGAAAGTCCCCCAGTTTCTCTGGCTGGAGAGGGATGCAAATGCGGTTCCACTCCTAACTCCCAGGAGCTGCAGAGATAAATCAGCTCTTCACGTTTGCCATCTCTAAGGTTCCTTCACTTGGGTGAGCAAGTGGAGGGGTCCTCAGGACAGCACATGTATGTACCTGTTCTCAAAGCAGAAGCTCACCATTGTGCTGTTGGCTTGACCACAAGGAGTGACTCAGGCAGGACAGCCCATCTCTCAGCCTCTCCTCTCCAGGCCCAGAGCTTTAAAGATGAGATCAGCTTGAAAGGTCGTTTATCTGAAGTGCACTGTACTCAGTGGGGGCTGAGAAGTCCTCGAGGATTCCAGAACTTCCTTTAAATGCCTACCAGATGAAGGGGGCTTTGGTGCCACTCAAAGACTGGCATCAGATAGATGATAATTTCCCAGATATAATTTCATCCAGCTGGACTTGATACCAAATGCCAAATACCAGAGAATCATAATAGACCAGTCTTCATGAGTGAGACACTTTCAAGGACATTGACTGTTATTGTAACAAAACTACAGTCCAATTCCCAGCTCCACAAAATTCTGATCTTGCTTTCATCTTTTGCAAATAATAAGGGTTACAGTAGGATCAAGAGTGCGGGCTGGGAGTACAAGATAAATGACAACTCACCACGCCTTCTTGATAATACCAAAAGGAGACTATTTATTTTATGCAAAAATAGTTATAATTCTTATGTGTGCTCAGATCTATTTTACTCCAAAAGATAAGTAGCCTTTTTTTCTCCTTTCTGGCAGATAATTAATAGTTTCTTATCTACATTTCCCTTGTCCAAACTAAGCTGTTAGGCAGGGTAGAAGAAAAACATGGCATGTTCAATATGTTAATTATAAGGTTATGACATTATCAAATGTAACCTAAATACAGTGGCCTTAAAGATTCTGAAATCTGTGCCAAAAACGAATCACATAAGGACAGAGTCACCACAAAATGTTTGAGAAATGACCAATTACATTTGTTTCTTATTTATCCATCATTTCTTTGAGTAGAGCTTATGTTACTTTGTAACTTTTATTTTTCCACTATTTCAGTTGAATATTTCAAGTGTGAAGTGAAAGGGATTGGGGACACAGCTGTGACATGATATTGTGAGGCTAAGATGTGTGCAGTGCTTTAAAAAAGAAAAAAAAACACTTTGGGAGGCTGAGGTGGGCGGATCATGAGGTCAAGATATCGAGACCATCTTGGTTAACACGGTGAAACCACGTGTCTACTAAAAATACAAATAATTAGCCGGGTGTGGTAGCGGGCACCTGTGGTCCCAGCAACTCAGGAGGCTGAGGCAGGAGAATGGCGTGAACCCAGGAGGTGGAGCTTGCTGTGAGCTGAGATCGCGCCATTGCACTCCAGCCTGGGCGACAGAGTGAGACTCCGTCTCAAAAAAAAAAAAAAAAAAAAAAAGGAAAAAATATATTAGGCAAACAAAGGTGCTTCTTAGCCTATGGTTCTGCTAGGTCCCCAAACACCTGCATGGCTTATTTAGTCAATATCCTGGACTTGAGGGACTGAGAGCCTATAACAAGCTTACAAGGATGTTGCTAAAGAGATGGAGGCAGACTGGCCTTAGCTGGAGAATTTCCTACTAATGCAGTTGTGTGGGAAAGAAAGTCCTGACAAAGAGGCAAACGGAAATTTTTCATATTTCCAAATTTTGTGGTAACCTAGCTTGGACTTTAAGCCACATCCTCCTGGAGTTGGACTGGATTCCTCCTGTTTTTCTTTCTCTGTAGCTAACCCCTTGGTGTCAACGTCTCCCAACAAATAGGATGGTTTCATCTGCCCAGCAAACCTCATTGCTTCCAACAAATGGCTTTATTTAACTTTGGGGAGAAGATTGAAGACAAAGCATTTTTCATAGTTTATATCTGATGTTCATGTTTTATATTCTTCTCTTTCAGATTGTATTCTTCTGCCTGCTTTCCAGGGGAGAAGTTTGCGTGTAATTCATTGCCCCATTCAAATCTCCTCTCATACTCAGTCACCGCACTTAAGCACATCTGGATGCCCAGCCCCACCTCTAGGTGCCAGTGTCCTTTTCAAAGAACAAGCTAACCCTTTCTCATGCCTGGCAGGTGGTGGTGGGAGGAGCTAGGGTAGGGGTGAGGGAAGAAGGGGCTTCTAGTCTCCAAATTCTTCCACAAAGTCAACTGCCTGTGTTCCATGTCTGTCTTTCTCCTCCAATACCCGCTCCAATGCATTTCCCTGCCCTACCTCACCCGCTCCGCCTCTTTTGTCCCTAGTCCTCCTTTTCATCTGGCAGCTGCATTCCAGAATCTCCACCACATACCCAGGCCTCACCTGCATCTGCCACTCAACACTGGACTTCCACAGAGCACCCTTCTAGCTGACCTGGCTACACTCTGGGCGTGGCACATACTAGATATGATTATTCCAAGTGGCTGGCTTTTGCCAAGCCCCAAATTGTATTTTGCCAATCATTCTTTTTTTTCCTTTAATTTTCAATCCCTTATGTATTTCAATAGGAAATGTAATCCATCTGTTTCTAGTTCATTTGCAATTACAATAACTCATTAGAACCTTGTGTTGTAAGACTCATTTAATGTTCAAGAAGCCTTCTGAACTTTTTCACAGGACTTTATAAACACTCTTCCTAGAGGTAATCTTTGGCCAGCTTTGAAGCAACTTCAACATGACACTGTGATTTCAGTTCAAGAAGTAGATTAGCTAAAAGGTGTTTTCTCATCCCTATTAAGTTATTGTTCAGACGATATGTTGGTCATTGCATTCCCACAGGAGGATATTTAATTAAGAAAATTACTTGTGCCTGGAGGGCAAAGCCTCACACAGTGCCCTTCATTACAGGGTGAGGGGGGCGTCCAAAGCCTTTGCAGTAATTTCTCAACAGTTATGGTGCCTCATGCATGTAATCCCAGCACTTTGGGAGGCCGAGGGAGGTGGATCACTTGAGGTCAGGAGTCTGAGACCAGCCTGACCAACATGGCGAAACCTTGTCTCTACCAAAAATAAAAAAATTATCCGGGTGTGGTTGTGTATGCCCATCATCTTAGCTACTTGGAAGGCTGAAGCAGGAGAATGGCTTGAACCCAGGGGGCAGAGGTTACAAGGAGCCGAGATGGTGCCACTGCACTCCATCCTGGGTGACAGAGCAAGACTATGTCTAAAGTGTGTGTATATATATTTTATATATATATATATATATATATATATATATATATATATATATATATCTATCTATCTATCTCAGTTCCAATTCCTTCTGGGAAATGTTTAGATACATGCATACACACCAGTGAAGATATCAGATGGAATCGAATGGTGGCAAAAGTGGAGAATGTGCACAGAAGTAGGTCTTTGGGGACGGAAGTCACCGTATAAGTGGAGCTACCTGTGGAAATGATGTGTAGACAATTGAAACGGGGACTAGAATTTCCATTCCGGGAAAGTGAGATAAATGAGGAGAATAGTTTTAACTGCCCTTGCATTGCCAGGTAGGGGAAACTACATACAAAGTGAAGTAAATAGTGGATGTCGAGATATTCAGACTATCTCCAGGGCTGTGGGCAAGGCATGCGCTGCAGGAGGGAGAGCTGGGGCAGCTTATGTTCTTCTGTGTGCTCTCTGGGGAAGTCAGTCTCTAGTGCTGCTGATTGACAGCACAAGACCTCCCAGACAAACAATACTAAATGCTCAGTCTTTGCAGAATCTGAGTGAAAACTTGGTCTCGGACATGTCTGCCCTGACAGGTCTGATAGACAGCTCATGTGTTTCAGTACTAGGTCCATGCTCACTGGTTATCACTCGGGTCATGTCAGTGGTTAATTATTCTGTTGCCTTCTCTTTTGATTTACAGTTAGTAATCCCATCCCATGCACAAGCTAGTGAGAGCATAGTTGGGGCTCCCAAGGAGTCACAAGCAGGTGGTGCTTTTGATGGATTCCAATATAAAACATGTGTCCTCCACCAGAACAGTGTTATACAAAGTACAGGGCAGACTCACACCAGGAGAGATAATGAGAGAAAAACAGAGTCATAGAGAGGGGAGATCCAATTTTGTCTGTTAGGAGTCCAGCTACAAGCCACACTCAGACTTCCTCCATCCCTAATTCAACAAGTGTTGAGTTTTGCATCTTGTATGGAGTCAGACATGAGCCTTCTCTTCAGAGAATGAAGGCTGCTTGATGTGGTCAACATGATAAAGACAGGAGATGTTTGGAGAGTCGGGGGCTCCCTCCCAAAGGAACCATTGGTCAGCACAGCCCCTGTCCTTGTCACTGGAATCCCTCCTCCTTCCTCAACACACTTCCAAATCCTACATGCCACTCCAAGTCCAGCTCAAGTCCCATTTTTCAATGAAGCCATCCCAGTCCCTTGTCTGGGTGGTGTCCTGTTCATCTCTGTGCCTTGTTTGCTCATAATCCCTGAAGCTTTACTGATGTTCCCTTGCACTCATATTCTCCTTTTTTTTAGATGTGTGACCGGTCTCCTCCAAGTACATGGTTATATTCTCCGTGACTAGGATTGCATCTGCGAAGCTTGGTTTCTCCACAATGCCAGGTATAAAACCTGCATTAACTGACTTTTCAACAGGGCTCTGAGCCTCCTTGGGCCTCCTGAACCCTCATGTCACTCCATGTGGCCACACTGGATAGTACTTGGGTGAATTTTTATCTGAGTAAGAAAATGAACTGCTGGGCTCCTGAGGCAGCAAAAAGGGGTAGGTCAGGGATACAATAGAAGTGAGATCTTGAGGGGTATTCTTGAATTCTTGATGCGGGGAGGGGGTTGTTTGTGATGGTGGCTTCAGGGGAGGATGCTTATCTGTGTGCCCTGTGCATTCGGAGAACTCTAAGTCTGTAGCAGAACAAATCAAGCTGATCTTTTGGCTTTAGGTTCATTTGTCCAGACAATATGAGGCATCCTGGAATTGCCATCTTCCCTCCTGGGAGCTTTCTTTTCTCCCATCTGCTACATCTTACCCAGATGAAGCTGCAGATCAGCAATACGGTTGGTCTTAGACCACATCCTCCCTGCCCTCTTTCTCTCCCTTGTACAGACAAGAACCCAGGGTGTCCCAATGAGAGATGCTATGATTGGATATCATCACCATAATTTAAATTAAACTCTACATAAAGTATACATTTTTATGAAATGAGATCAGTCCATTCTCACATCTAGGATCACTTTAGATCAGTGACCCCCGTGATCTGTATACAATGTCACTGCATTTGAAATTTATTATTTTATGTAATTTTTATTGTACTTGCAACTCCACAGACTTTCAACATCAGGATTGTCCTGCCCAGCAATGTCTACCAAGAGGGGGTATGCTGTGTAAAGGAAGGGAGAGCAGAGAAGTCACGCAGGAAAGTGCAAGTAGCTGACTGTATGATTAACTGCTCTGAGTGCCACTGAGAGGTCAAATAAAATGGCCAAGAAAATAAATGTTGGATTTGGAGTATGGATGTAGTAGTCGGTTTGGACAAGGGCAGGATCAGAGATGTCTCTGGGGAGAAAACTAGATTGGAATTCTTGGAAGTGTGAATTGGGGGAAAGAAAGTAGACGTGTGCAGACATCTTTCATGAGCAGTTGGCTCTGAAAGATACATGGGCTAGTAGGGTTTTTGCCTTGCTTTGCACCCTTTTCTCCTAACCCAACTCTTCCATGATGTTGCCAGACTTACTCACTTTCTTCTCCTCTCACCCAGGTCCTGATCCATTTCTCTCCAGTATCTGACCATTCCTAATGCTGAGGATTTTTGTACTTCAGATCACATCAGTCTCTGAACTTCTCCATGTGTTCTCTTCCAAACATGATCACTGTGCTCCACCCTGGCATTACACTGATCAGAGTGATCTGCTAAGCCAAAAAAGGCCCCATCCTTAAAAATAGGAAAATCCAGAGGAAGTTTCAAAATTAACTATTTTTTTTCCTTTAAAATATTTCCAATCAAATGCAAACACTTTTTCAGGTCTATGCCTCTATTTTTCTCCATAAGCAAGAGAAAAGGGCAGAGAATTTGATTCTCCTTCTATCTAGCAGATGCCCAAGGGCTGTATGTTTGTGTTTGTGAAGGAGAGATAAAAAGGGAGAGAGAGAGAGGAGGGAGAGGAGAAGAATGCAAATGCACAGGCTAGAAAGAGGGAAGAGAGAATCAGGCAAAGACACCTCCTTGTTACTCTGGGCTCTTGTCTGCATTTTCAACAGGCTTATGTGGAAACATCTTGCATCTTCAAATTCCATTCTAGGCTTGAAAGATACTGGGCAGGATATAACAGCTATTGTGTGTGTGTGTGTGTTTTACGTGTTTGTTGTAATAGATTTTTCATGAATCTTAGGGTTTTCTGGATGTACAATCATAAATAATGGGATTTGTTTCTTCTTCCTTCCCAGAGTAATTATTGAACTTCCATTTATTGTATAATTTGCATAGCTAGGACTTCAGAACAGTGTTGAATAAAATAAAAAAGAATGGATATCTTTCTCTCGTTTCTGAATTCTCATATTTTAGCATGAATTATGACATTGGCTATTTAGTATCCATATTCTTTCTCATATTATAGAAACATTCACTTATTCTTAGTAGAGCTTTTGTTGTTGTTTTTTCAACGTGGAGAATGTGTGTTGCTTTTTCAGGACCTATTATAATGCTAATATACTTTTTCTCTTTGAAACTACTGTTATCAATTATTAATGGAATTTCTAACTCTAAATCATTCTTGCATCCTCACAATAAATTTAACTTGCACACAAATATTTGCTTGTTGCTTGTTTGACTAATTGGGTTTTGTTTAAGAACTTTAAAGCTTATGTAAGACATTTATTTTTCATGTTTACAAAGGACTGTTTATGTTTTCTTTCCTCTATTATATTGCCAAATTTTGATGTAACAGCTACACTAAAATGAAGTAGATTGCTTCTTATAATTTTCTAAGTACTGGATTATATTAGCTAGGTTAACACTACCTAGTTGCTATAACAAACAACCCCCAAATCTCGAAGGCTTAACCCAATATGTTTATTTTTAAATTAGGACACAATTATATGTGGGTTGGGGTAGTGGTATGCTAGGGCTGGTTCATCCTTGATCGTGATGAACTGATGATGTGCATCCACACCAAACTGTGTTCAGTGACATCACCTTGGTTGCCTAAAAGCAGCCATGGTGGAGGGATGTATTACAGAAATTTACAAATGTTACCAGTTAGAGCCTCCCCCCACACCTCAAATGGGTCACTAAACATTTACCAGCACAACGCCACCTGGGCGGCTCTTCTGCACATCTCTGCCCTAGGTGAGGACTCAGGGATCCTGGCTCATTCCATCACGGGGCTCAGCCCTCTCAGGGTCCTTCACTGTGAGCTGTGAGGAAGAAAAGAGAGAGCATGAAAGGTTCTACAGGACCTTTTGTAGGTCAGGCATGAAAGTAGCATTCTTCATCATTGGCCAGAACTTGTCACATGGGCTCCCTTAGATGCAAGAAACATGAAAAATGCCACCCTTCTTCGTATACATCTCTTTAGGACATTTTAATTCTGTCCCACTGCTCTATGTTGGCACCAGAACTAAATTTTGTCATTATGATGCTTCATATTTTGCAGATCAGTTTCTCCCTTCTTTATTCCCCCTCCAATATTTTATTTGCTATCTTTGCCTATTTCTTCTCACAGATTGATTTTAGAATTCATTTGCCAAATTCAAGAAAAATATTCAACTTATAGTTTATTTAAATTGCATTGAGTTTATAGATTTGGGGCATAAGATAGACTAGTTGATCTATATATTATCCCATTAAGTTAATTCTAATATTAAATAACTCCTTAATTCCTGGAATTAAATCTCTTAGATTGTGTTGTATTATTCTTTTAACATACTGTTGAAATTGAATGGGTATAATGTGATTTAGACTTTTTACATGTAATTGACAGGTGCATTTGGCTTCTAGTCTCAGTCTCTCTCTCTCTTCCCCTGACGCCATTTATTTCATTGTCAGATTTTACTATTAGCTTAAGAAAATTAATTGAGAATTGACTCCTCCTTTTCTATGCATTACAGAAATTCAAATGGCCTGAAAATTAAGTTCCTTTAAACCATCTGACACTGTTTTCCAACTTTTAAAATGTATTGCATAGCTTTTGACTGATTTCTTTTTCTTCTTTCTGAATCAATTCTTTTAGTAATCATAGTCTTAAAAATAATTTCTTCAATTGATATTTTCCAAATTAGTAGCATAAAATTGATCACAGAATTATGCTAGGGTAGAGGAGTGGGAAGTTGACTAGGAAAGGACACTTTTAAATTTAAAAAAAAGTTTTTATTTTGATTGTGGTGGTGTTTATGTGTTGTATACTTTTGTCAGAACTCATTGAAATTTACACTTGAAAGCAATGCAGTTTATTGTCAACAAACTATCAATAAAGTTGATTTCTTTCAAAAAGCCTTTTTAATATTTGGTTATTTTCAATGTGTTAGTCACATGTAAAATATAGTTGTGTGTTTTAGCCTATTGTGGTCACAGTAAGAAGACTTTCTGCTTTCATTTGGTAAGAAACGGCTGTGACTAATTAGCTCTTCTCAAGCACCAACTATATAATGTATATATGCAATTGATATATAGTCAACTAGGGTGACCAACTATCCTGGTTTACCAGGGATGGAGGGATTTCCCAGGATGGAGGACTTTCATTGTTAAAACCAGGAAGGTCTTAGGCAGATGAGGAAAGTCCCAGACAAGTCAAGATGAGTTGGTTACCCTAGGTATATAGCTGAACACACTTAGCATTTCTTATAATATACAGTAAACGACATATTATATAGCAAGAGGAAGTAAAGAGACCTAGCATGAACATAGTCTCCACAGCAGATAGAATTTACCCATTAATTTTTAAATGGTATAAGAAAGTTTTGATAAATGATCTAATTCTGGTACTAGTTATAGACCTTGAGAACTAGGGTATCCACATTGCTAGTTTACCATGGTAGCTACCCATCATCTCTCAGTGTCCTGAGACTATGTTGGAATCTACAGAATCTTCCTGGCTCTGATCTACTGTTATCAGAAACACCAAACACTTAACAAAAGTGCCAAGTCACTGGACCTATGGGGTTAGTTCATTTTGAAAACGGAACTGGACTTTCTACCAAGAACCAGAAAAATGTTGAAAACATAAAACAACAAAAATCTGTGGTGTGTTTGTAAAAACCAAGCCTCTGACCCTGATCTAAACCAGACTGTTCTCCTCCTGGCTTCCTCCCTTTTTCCTTTAATTAAGCTAACTGGAGAGGCAAGGCTTTCATCAGACCAACACGACAATCTTCCTACCCTAATCTCTAGGACAAAACAGAGAATCTGGTCTGGAATTGAACTTGAAATATTAACGAAAAATGCCTACCAGCTTAATGTTGTCACTGTCCTATGTTTATTTTTCTTTCTTTTATGTCTGATGTCAAGGAGAAAATAATGTCATCTGCTGGAAATTTCAGCATGTTTGCATTTTGAGATAATTAAAATTAATGGTGGAGGGCCAAACTAGCACCAAACAATCCCTGTGATTCCCATGTGCGTAAAAACATTTTGTAATGACTTTCACTTAATCTGTGAGCCTGGCAGGCTGCCCCAAACCACCTAGATCCAAACTAGATTCAAGCAGCAAAGTTTGCTTTTCAAAAAGAAAAATGTATATGCTGGAAGTTAGAAATTAGGGCATCGGTAAACTAGTTAGGCTCTGCAAATTGCTTTATCCATTTGGGGCTTTCCTCCATCTCTGTTTCTTCCTTTTCCAGCTTGGATGGCAGGACTTCTAGTACACATGGCAATGATGTTGCACCTCACAGCTATTGGAAAGGCAAGTCTTCCATAGGAAAGGGCAGAAATGAATTTTCCTTAAGGATCTGTAAACCCAGGAAACTCAGCTCTGAGAGATCATCTGTGAGATTCATTCAGTGAGGAAACTCAGACACAATGGTCATTTGTTGTAGGGCAGGTAGTAGTTGACAGGATGTTTGACTTTTCAATAGCCTGTTTTACCAACTGTGTAACAGTCAATGTGATTCATCCGTAAGAATCTCTTGCTTAATATCTTTTAGTAACCTCTCATCATCCACAGGGTAAACCCTAAACTCTAACCCCCTTGGCATGAAGCCCAAGGCTTTTTTTTTAAACTGGGGCATTTTCCATTTTCTAGCTTCATTTTCCTACTGACCATTCCCTATATCACAGGTCATAGCTATCAAATACCTTGTAGTTTTCTGAACACATGGTGCTGTTCTGGGTACAGAACAGCTAAATAGTCTTCCCACTATTTAGGAAACTCCTAAATCACTTCATGAATGATCTAGTACTTTACATCTGGTAAATGCTCAGTATATTTGCTGAATAAATAAATTTTAGAGCTTAACTCAAAAACTGCTTTTTTTTTTGACTCCCTACATGAAATAAGGATTC